TCGTACACAGGCTTATCGTACACTTACATACAGTACATATAAATTTAAAAATTATTTTGTAAGCCTACATCATCAATTTAGCTTCATATATTTATTATCATGGGCTTGGTAAGGTTTTAACATTGAAATTGAAATAAGTTTATTGAGGTAAAATACACACAAAGGCATGAGGTAGCGCAAGCTATTTTGACCCCGTTCGTGTTCATACATATATAGACACACATCACAAACAATAAACATATTGCCGAACATTCTGAGAGATAAACATGTAAAATTCCTCCTTTACATAAACATCGATATGAGAACGGAGTTATTTACAAAGTAAGGGACCAAAAGAGTGAGTTATCGGTGTCCGAACTTCTTGAATGTGACTTTAGTCGATCACGAAACATTTATTTCAGTTTATAGATAAACAAAAAAATCTGACTAATATATGGGAGCCTTAAATAACGAAATATTATGTTCCATGCTATTCACTACACTTGAATTGTCAGTGTTGAAGTAAGACCTATTATCTATTATCGATCTATTTGCTGACGACACAACCTTCATTTACTCCAGTCCTGATCCCCTTGCTCTAAATGCCACAGTAAATACTGAGCTAAATAAAGTCCATCTGTGGCTAACTGCCAACAAACTCACCCTTAACATTGACAAAACTTTCTATATTCTGTTTGGCAATAAATCCTCTAATCAAATAAATCTCAAAATAAACAATACCCAAATTTGTAACAAATTAGATTGCAAATTCCTTGGCATTCTCATTAACCACAAGCTGAATTTCCAGGGACACATTCTAAACATATCAAAAAAAGTTTCAAAAACTGGGCATTCTTTCTAAGATCAGATATTATGTACCACGCCCTGCCCTGGTGACTCTCTATTACTCCCTTATCTATCCATATCTCAACTATGGTATTTGTGCTTGGGGCTCTACTACCCAAAATCACTTACGTCCCCCAATTACTCAACACAAAGCTGCTATTAGGACAATATCCAATTCTGGCCCCAGACATCACTCGGTACCCCTACTCAAATCTCTGAATATGTTAGACATTAAGTCACTGCACATTCTCTCATGTGTATTATACATATATAAAACGCTAAACTATAATGCCAATCCTGATCTCAAAAGCTTCATAGAAGGTTGTAACAGAACCCATGAGCACCACACCAGAAATAAATACAGTTTTGATATTCCTAGAGTACGACTTAATCAAACCAGAAATGCTCTACAAATCAAGGGGCCCAGAATGTGGAATGACCTTCCCAACCATGTTAAAGACTGTACCTCTCTCAACCAGTTTAAGTTAAAAACGAAGCTATACCTAATAAATTCCCTGTAACCTACCTTACCCCTCTGTTGTCAACCCATGTATGTTTTTTTTTTTTTTTCAAATCAACGCTGTTTGAATGTAATTTTCTGTAATAATTTGTAATTGTATTTGTGCTGCTTTTTCAACAATGTTCCCCCCTCTTTTACCTCTATTTTTATTTGTTCTCAACACATTTTATTCTTTTTACCCATTAGTTTTAAGCTTTAGTCATTAATGTTTTTCCTGCCCGAAACGCTTTGCGTAATAGTGGCTTTAGGCATTGTATGTACTAGCTCTATCTATAAAGCCAACAAACTTTGTAAAATCTCTTTATGTATGTACCTTACCTAAATAAAAATTATTATTATTATTATATGCCTATGTAGAGAAGTAAGCTACCTATGTGCTTTAATATACCTACAATTTTTCTCTCATCTTTTAGTTTTTTCATGCTATGTAACTGTTATCATTTTTATAAATTTTACAAGTATTTACCTACTTATAAGTTTCTTAGATTAAGGACCTGCCCGAAACGCTGCGCGTACTAGAGGCTTTACAAGAATGTAATTACTATGCTATGTATCCTCACAATCCAAATGTACTTTCTTGTAAATAAATAAATAAATAAATAAATGAAACTTTAAGGCTCCGGAGATCGGGAAGTGTCTTATTTTTTCAACTCATTACATTCATTATACACGCAGCACACGTCATATGACTGGCCAGGGTCTAAGATGCTTTTTGTTAGCTTGGTTCATTTATTATGCACCTCATGTCCAGCCTGAGAGCGTCTGGCTAGGCTACATGCACAACATGTCATATTTAATTAATGAGTTCAAGAACTGTACCCAGGTAAAATTTATTTGACTAAGCAAGTTAATTACAGAACTGGTGAGCTAGTTACATAATGTGTTAGCACACACACACACACACACACACACACACACACACATATATATATATATATATATATATATATATATATATATATATATATATATATATATATATATATATATATATATATATATGTATATATATATATATATATATATATATATATATATTTAAATATATATATATATATATATATATATATATATATATATATATTTAAATATATATATATATATATATATATATATATATATATATATATATATATATATATATATATATATATATATATATATATATATATATATTATAGCTTACAGCCTCTGATACTGCTATTGAGTTTAATAGGTTCTTCTCTTCCATTGGGTCATCCCTTGCAAGAGATATTCCATCTTTCAGTACTGATGTTCAGGACTATGTTACAGGTAACTATCCACAGTCTCTGTACCTAACGCCTGCAAATTCCACTGATGTTAATGAGGTAATCCTTTCCCTTAAAACCAAGTCTAGTGCCCTTGAGGAGATTCAGCTCAGTTGTGACCGGTCCACGGTCGTGTGCGGTCGCAGTGTTGGCGCTCTTGGCGTCCGCTGCTTGGTGGGAGGTGGAGTATGGCACCACACTCTTCGTCTTTGCACGTGGTGATACAGGATATTGTGAATTTGTTCTCGATTGTTGACAGTGCCTATGAGTGTCGAGAAAATGGCTGAGGCGGTATGCCTAAGTGGTATTGAGGAGGACAGACAAGATGATAACAGACCGTTTGAAGTAGCAATGAACAGAAAGAAACGGCGAAATATTAACAGACAGTGAGAGTGACGATGAAATTAGAACATAAGAAGAGTCAGGCGCAGACAGTCGCTGCAATACCTCAAATCTTACCTTACTAACAGGCTCCAGTATGTTTCTATGAATAATTCAATTTCTCCCACCCTACCCATCAACATTGGTGTTCCTCAGGGCAGCATACTTAGCCCTCTCTTTCTCATTTACATTAATGACCTTCCAAATGCCTCCCAACACCTCAAACCAATTCTATTTGCTGACGACACAACCTTCATTTACTCCAGTCCTGACCCTTTGCTCTTAATGTCACAGTGAATACTGAGCTAAATAAAGTCCTACTTTGGCTAATTGCCAACAAACTCACCCTCAACATTGACAAAACTTTCTATATTTTGTTTGGCAATAAATCCTCTAATCAAATAAATTTCAGGATAAACAATACCCAAATTTGTAACAAAATAGATGGCAAATTCCTTGGTGTTCTCATTGACAACAAACTGAATTTCCAGGGACACATTCTAAATATATCAAAAAAAAGTTAAAAAAAACTGTTGGCATTCTTTCTAAGATCAGATATTATGTACCTCGCCCTGCTCTGGTGACGCTCTATTACTCTCTTATCTATCCATATCTCAACTATGGTATCTGTGCTTGGGGTTCTACTACCCAAAATCATTTACGTCCTCTAATTACTCAACACAAAGTTGCTATTAAGACGATTTCTAACTCTGGCCCCAGACATCACTCGGTACCCCTACTCAAATCTCTGAATATGTTAGATATTAAGTCCCTGCACATCCTCTCATGTGTATTATATATATATATATATATATATATATATATATATATATATATATATATATATATATATATATATATATATATATATATATATATATATATATATATGTGTGTGTGTGTATATCACGAAAATAAACACGTGATTAAGAATGTGACAATGTCAGACCACGGAGGAAAAATGAAACAGGAATTTCCTTAAGTACTTTCGTATATTAAATACATCTTCAGAAGGTCTTCTTCACCTTCTGAAGATGTATTTAATATACGAAAGTACTTAAGGAAATTCCTGTTTCATTTTTCCTCCGTGGTCTGACATTGTCATATATATATATATATATATATATATATATATATATATATATATATATATATATATATATATATATATATATATACAAAGCGCTGAACTGTAATGCCAATGTCACCTTAAAAGCTTTATTGAAGGTTGTAACAGAACCCATGAGCACCACACCAGAAACAAATACCTTTTTGATATTCCTAGAGTACGACTTAATCAAACTAGAAATGCTCTACAAATCAAGGGACCCAGAATGTGGAATGACCTTCCCTACCATGTTAAAGACTGTACCTCTCTCAACCAGTTTAAGATAAAAACTAAACACTACCTAATTAACTCCCTGTAACCTACCTTACCCCTATAATGTCAACACTGTCTGCTAGTTTTAAACAATGCTGTTTGTCGACCAAATGTATTTTTGCTGTTTTTCTGCCATGTTCCCCCTTTTTTATTTTTTTATTTTTTCTCAACACATTTTATACTTTAATCTCAATTAGTATTAAGTTTTAGTCTTTAGTGTTTTTCCTGCCCGAAACGCTTTGCGTAATAGTGGCTTTAGGCATTGTATGTACTAGCTCTATCTATAAATCCATCAATATTTGTATCACACCTTGTATGTGTGTTTTACCTAAATAAACATTTGATTTGATATATATATATATATATATATATATATATATATATATATATATATATATATATATATATATATATATATATATATATAAGTAGTATCTTCACAAGCAGGTACAAAACTCATTATGGGACAAGATAATATAGTGCGCAGACAGCGGTGACAATGTATAATTCATCATCCCGGAAACACGTACGCCAGCAATGCTCAAGCTCTTTCAGAAAGCCCTAGCCAAGGCGAGGGAGCGCATGACAGAGCTCAGGCAAGATA